CTCGGCTCCCAGGTGAGCTAGAAACTTGATCTTCGGACCAAAATTACTAATTTTTCCCGATATTTCAGAAAATCAAAATTTCTAAACTTACTGTAAAAGCGACTGAAACCAAAATAGCTCTAATATCCTTGGTATGAACAGCGACCATTAATGATATAAAAAATCCGGCGAACAAAACGAAAAACGCCATAAATCCGACAATATAATGTGGTGAAAATGATTTTCCATTGATCCAATAATATGCGAGTGATACGAAAAGGGCGGCACACAGACAGACATCGACAAGGACTGATATGATCAGGGAAACCTAAAAAAAAGTTTTCGGATTTTTTTGAAATAGAGGACATTAACTGTATTTCTGTACAAATTTCATCTTTCTAGCTCTTCTGGGAGCTGAGATATGGACGTTTGACGTTTGGGAAGCAAGAGACGCAGACAGTTACAGAGTCTCGTTGTCTGCGTCTCTCACCTCAAAACTTCAAACGGCTTTAACTTGGCTTCCAGTAATCGTAGAAGAGTGGTTTTTTGAAAAAAACTATTCGAAAATTGAAATTCTATTACTATGAAATTATGAAATTATAAAGAGACAATTGAAAATTTGGATGTTTAATTTCTTCCATTTGTCCCGATTTGAGGATTTTGGGACAGAATTTTTGATTTCAGTCACTTCTGTCTGAAAGTCACTATTCTAGCTCATCTGGGAGCCGAGATATAGTCATTTGAAGTTTTGAGGTGAGAGACGCAGACAGCTAGAGTGTCTTGTTGTCCGTGTCTCTTACCTCAAAACTTCAATGCTTATATCTCGGCTTCTAGCCGACCTAGAAAGATGGTTTTTGGATAGATATATACAAATTTGGAAATCCTATTAATGCAAAATCAAGAATTGAGAACAATACTTCTTTAAAACTTTTAGAGCTGTTTCCCTAGTTTCGACTATCAAGGAGTTTCCAAAAATTTCAGGTTTTTTTTTTCAAATATCTGAACAAATCGAAATTCCCCATATTTCAGTCTAAAAATTACTCTTTTTGGATCGCTAGGAACCGAGATATAGTCAATTGAAGTTTTGAGGTGAGAGACGCAGACAACGAGACGCTCTAGCTGTCTGCGTCTCTCTTCTCAAAACTTCGAACGGCTATATCTCGGGTTCTGGACCACCTAGAAAGCTGATTTTTGAACGAAAATATCTAGAATATTCTGGATAATTTGTTTCACAAAAAAGAATTTTCTAAAATAGAAATGCTCACCCTGATCGCCTGCTTTGATTGTTTCTTGCTACAGCATAACATCGTTTCTCCAAAAAATTGGCTAATCTAAAAAATCGGTGGTAAAAGTTTAAAAAGTAATAGAACACACAACACACAGAAAGCAACGAAAATGAATCATTTGGTGGAAGTGAGAGAGCGAGAGAGAGAGAGAGAGAGAGAGAGAGAGAGAGAGAGAGAGGGAGAGAGGGGGGGGGGGGGTTGCTATTCTTTTTGTTGTCAACAACAAACACATCGGGTGGGTGGGCATGAAAAAACAAGAATCGAAAAAACGGGTAATGAAAGAGAGAAGAGAGGGATTTTTAATTTATTTTTGGCAGTTGAGGGCAGAAGAGGAATTGACCATGACTGTAGTTTTTCTGACTAGGGAATGGTCAGAACTCACACCACGATCGAGATATACTAGTGGATTCTCCGAAAAGGGGGGAGGGGTGCCTCCTGATTCCAGAACAGTTTTCAAATTTTGCTAAATGGCCCGCAGAGCCGAGATATCTGTGCTCCAAAATCAAGCGATAAACCATGTAAATCTTGTTTCCGAGTTTTCGATCAGCTGCTTCCTCTCCCCTTAAATTCCCCCTCCAAACTCCGCATTTTTATCCGTCGCCGTTGACTAGCAAGAAAAGTGGGCCTGTGGCCGAGTGGTGTGTGCGCTTGGCTGGGAATCTGCTTTTGCGGGTTCGAACCCTCTTCGTTTTAAACTTTTTGTTTTTGTGTTTTATGGTCATTTAATGATTTTTTTAAAAACTTTTTTCATGATTTTTCACTTTTCTGTATACATAGTAAGCCATCCTGACATTTTTACGAAATTTCGTTTTTTTCGAAACTTCGATTTTTTCTGGTCAAATCCAGGCGAAAAAAGAGAGGAAATTTTTTCATGAATAAATGTTTGAAAATTGTAGAATGGGTTGACAAGCTAGGTCGAGAGTTCGGATCTTCTCTGGCAATTTTGTTGTTGGAGGATTACTTGAGGCACCGTGAATTAGGGACTCGAGGTGCTCGTCTGATACGTGAAGTTTGAGCTCAATTATCTCGGTTATTTGAAAGGTATCAAAAAGTGGTCAACTGCTGGAATGATTATTATAATATGATAAACATTTTATCAGTTGGAATTGTTTTGATACCTTTTGAAGCAACCGAGATAATTGAGCTCAAGCGTCGCGTGTCGGGTGGGCCTCTCGGTATTACGGTATTACGGTGGCTTGGAAAATAAAAACTTTTCCAGCAAGCACAAAACATTTAGAACATGGCATTTTTAATCCATTTCACAAATTTTCAAACATTTATTCATAAAAAATTTCCTCTCTTTTTTTCGCATGGATTTGACCAGAAAAATCGAAATTTCGAAAAAAACGAAATTTCGTAAAAATGTCAGGATGGCTTACTATGTATACAGAAAAGTGAAAAATCATGAAAAAAGTTTTTAAAAAATCATTAAATGACCATAAAACACAAAAACAAAAAGTTTAAAACGAAGAGGGTTCGAACCCGCAAAATCAGATTCCCAGCCAAGCGCACACACCACCACAGGTAGAGGGGGACCGCCGAAAAACGGGCCGTCTGGCGGGCGCGGACTCCCGAAAAGCGAACAGTCGGCAGTCGAATCGCGCGCCGCCGACGGTCCGCCTGAAACGATTTGCGCCTCGAAGACGGACCGTCTATAATGATAGCGCCTTCTTGACAGTTCATCATTAAACAGGTAATAAACAATAGAAATTCTTTATTCAACTAATAGTTTCTGTGGATTGTGTATTGTTTTTAAAAAGTAACTCTGATTTTTTCAAAGGTGAATTTTTATGAGTAGAACAAGAGAAAACACATAAGAAATCACAAGTTCTGAATGAGACAGAACTTCCGATTTTCTTTCTGTATTTTCGCAAAATTCAAACTTCATAGAAACTCAACTCGGAAAATCAGAAGCTTTTTTAATTTCCTTTCGTTCTCTTTCTCTTCTTCGTTTCTCCCTTTCAACTTTTTTCGTTTTTCAGTATATACATTTCTCTCATTGGACAGTATTTTTCGCTTATAAGTACGTTCAAAATAAATAAAAGTGATGCGTTCGCAACACTAAAAACTGACAAGTAAAAAATCTGTAGATTTTTAGGCTCTGCGGCATTTTTAAAGCAGACTTCAAAAGGGCGAGGTTTTGCATGTGAAATTTAAAAAACGAGTCAGAAACAGCAAAAACTGATTTTCGTATTAATTTTTGTGCAAACCTTGCAAAGTTGTTACTTTCCAAACATTGCACTTGCAAAACGTCACACCTATGAAGTATCTGCGAGGTGAATTTTCGACAACGCATGAACAATTTCAGAGTTTACGATAGTTTTTGCTTCGGAACGTATAAAAACTCACCAACTCACCATATAAAAACTCCTGAAAGGCTGCATTTGTAAAGTTCCGAAACAAAAAATAGCGAAACTTTCGAAACTTTCATCGCAAGGAGTTTTCGCCGATTTTTTCTGCGTTTTCAACTAAAAACGCGCAGAGCGAAAGTGCGAAAGCTTTTCAGTGCTTCTTTATGCCAGTAGTTAGATAAATTAAGCGAAAAATACTGAATTTCAAATTTTGTTGCAAATCTCTATGACCGAAATTTTGAAACTCGGCAGTTATAAAACGGCATTTAAAAACGAATTGTTGTGATTTTTGAAGAAAAACGGAAAAAATAGCACATTCAGACACAAATTGTACAAAATTAAAAATAAATTTCGTCGGAAATCTTAAACAAATTGAAAAATATGACCGAGAACATGTGTCCTGAACGATTGATTATTATCATGCAATGACAACTCGAGTAAAGATCTTGGAACACGAAAATGCTAACACATGTTTCTAGATATATACCAAGGAATTTTCAAACATATTTTTTTATTCAGCCGCCATCAACCAGTCAACGCCTATTCGACTGTCATTTAGCAGTTTTTCACCAACCGCGCCTCAAATCCTAATTGATATAGAAATGCTTCTAATAACGCATTTTTTAGCTTCCCAGACCCCTCTATGACTTTTATGATATTTTTAGAGAGAACTATTTTTTCAACAAAATTTTCCATTCTGAAGGAATTCGGACCGCCAACCACCGGTCGTTGGCCAGTCAGCGCCTCTTCGACTGTCATTTAGCAGTCGTTCAACAACCTATTTTTTGAGGTGGTCATATTTGAGGAAAATAAGATTCTATCAACATTCTATAATCTAGTGGGAGTATGAGAAATTGTTTTCTGCATGATTTCCAATCAGAACCTTCAAGTACGTTTTCCAATCGGTACCGACTGTCCGTCGACGGACCGTCGACGGCCCGTCAGTTCTCCTTCGGCTGCCAAATAGCAGTCATTCGCCAGTTTTCGCCTCTTCAGCTGTCATTTAGCAGTTTTTCGGCAGTCCCCCTTTACCTGTGACTCGGCCACCGGGGCCCACTTTTCTTGCTAGTCAACGGCGACGGATAAAAATGCGGAGTTTGGAGGGGGAATTTAAGGGGAGAGGGAGCAGCTGATCGAAAACTCGGAAGCGAGATTTACATGGTTTATCGCTTGATTTTGGAGCACAGATATCTCGGCTTTGCAATGATAGAACTTTAAAACTTGAACATTTTTTATGCAAAATTCGTCAAAATGAAAAATTTCAACAAAAAAACGAAACATTGGAAATATCTGTCCTGGAGTTTCTCATGTTGTTTAAAAATATTTAGCTCTTCAGAAGTTTCCAGTCAGTTCTGTTCAAAAACGAGCTTTCTAGCTCATCTAGAAGCCGAGATATAGGCATTTTAAGTTTAGAGGCAAGAGACGCAGACAACGAGACACTCTAACCGTCTGCGTCTCTTCTAAACTTCAAACGCCCATATCTCGGCTCCCAATGGTCCTAGAAATCTGGTTTTTGGACAGACAAGGGAAGGAAATCTAGTGTTTTGTGTTTTTTGAACAAAATACAAGTGACCAAAAATTTTTATACTTATTTTAAGAAAGGAATTGAAGATACAATTTTGAATAATCAAAAAAAAATTTAGCTAAAAAGTTTCTACACATTTCTAGCTGAAAATCACTTCTCTAGGACCACTGGGAGTCGAGATACAACCATTTGAAGTTTTAAGGTAAGAGAAGGCAGACAACGAGACTCTCTAACTGTCTCTCTAAAACTTCAAATGGCTATATTTCGGTTCCTAGTTGTCCTAGAGAAATGAATTTTGGATAAAAATATTCAATTTTGTTGATTTTTAAAAATTTGATTGATTTTGTGTCAAATTGTTTTAATTTTGGATTTTTGAGAATTTCCCAAAAGTTCCCGTATTTCGTTCAAAAAGAATTAGCTCGAAAACTTCTATACATTTCTAGCTAAAATTGCGTCTCTAGGATTACTAGAAGCCATTTGAAGTTCTGAGGTAAGAGACGCAGACAACGAGGCACTCTTGCTGTCTGCGTCTCTTCTAAACTTCAAACACCCATATCTCGGGTTCTGGATGAGCTAGAAAGCTGATTCTTCTTCAGAAATGTGGGAAATTTTAAGAGCTTTGCGATGATGCCCCAAAATACCAAAAATCTTAAGAAGAAATTCTAGAAAAATTGGAAAATTATACCTTGGAGTATCTTCCCAAAAACACAGTATTCAATTTCAAAATTTTTCAAATACAAAACAAAAGAAAAAAGAACTAATTAATATGCCACAAATAGGGAAGTTGTTCGTTTAGAAGAAACTAAAAATGTCACCTTTCTAGTAAAAACAAAAAAAAAACCAAAATCCCAAAGAACAGGTTTTGTTACATACCAAAATAAATCTTTAACCTCAAAAAAGGGAAGGAAATGAAAACAACTATGTTTTAAATCTCCAAAATACTAGATAGATTTGCAAAATCACAGAAAACAACACAAAGATTCCAAAATATAGGAAATTTAGTTTTTCAGTCTATTCAAAGGAAAAAATACCACAAGTTGTGATTTTGATTTCAAATTTCAATTTGGGGAAAAATAGAGAAATACAATAAAAGAAATGGAAAGGCAAAACAGATGGTGTACCCAAGAGAAGTGACGTCTTCTTCTATTTCTTTTGGAGACGTCTCAAAGATCATGGTCATTTCGAAAAAAAGAGGAATTTCCTCTTTTCTAGTTGACACTGTAAACAAGTCAAAGTAGTATAGTTACACCTGAAGGACACCTGAAGAAAGTGTGCTCTAGCGTACTCTGCAAAAAAGTTATAACATTTTTTTGCGAACTTAAACTTTTGTCTGATTCGCGAACGGATCCGTTTGTTTATCATTCGCAATCGGATCGGATACGGAGTTCGCAAACGGATAGAATACGGAGAAATGTGCTGTGGTTTTCTGAAAACGGGTCGCGTGCGGTCCGTATGCGGTTCCTATTTCAACCGCGCGCGAACGCTGAGCGTCCGTAACGGATTGTTCGCGAATCACCTGTGCAAGGATTTTCCTATTTTTTCCTCGATCTCGAGAAACCGCCAAGATTCTTCATAATTTTGGAAACATTTATGTGAAAAAATCTAGTTCCTAGGACTTCTAGAAACCGAGATATATCCGTTTGGAGTTCTGAAATATTTTCAGATTTCAAAATTTTTATATGCTATATTTTTTCAAACAGCCCTTAAAATTTCAGACATTTTTAAAAAAGAACCAAATTTCTAAACCACTGACAAGGGAGTTACTTGAGCGAGCAGGTTTAACTTTTTTTGAAATTTTGGGAGCAGATAGAAGAGCTTATGAGGATTCCAAATCTGTTAAAAAAATCAGCAAAATGCTCACGTGAGCTGAGTTATGACCTAGAAAAGGTTCCCTATGATTAAGCAATTTCTCGTGAAATTTTTTTCACGGAATAGTGTATTTCTTTTAAAACAATAGATTTCAATCAGCAGTGTGGTAAAGTGGTAAAATGGCAAATTCAGAGGAGGAAGGTTGTAGGTTCGATTCTCACGATCCCAAAAATTTTGCAAATTTTTTTTGTTTTATTTTAAACTGCCATAACTGGCTCTGGAAAAAAATTTCCGCAATTTAAACATGTTTTTCGGGAGTTTCTCGTTATATATAGGAATTTTAATAATAAAAACAGACATTTAATTTTTGAAGAAATTCACAATTATGCTCATGGGTTCATCGAAAATTTTTCAAATTTTTTTTTCAATTTTTTTTAAATTGAAAAAAACATTTGAGGATTCTAAACACATCGGTGGCATTCGATGACAAACTGCTGAAAACATATGTTCTTGGCACAATACGCGCATTTGACCATTGACAATGTTTTGCACCCAGATAATTGGCACATTCCATAAACTTTCCGGTCGAAGCAATATTGAATTGGTCTGTCACATTTCGGAGCGCAACTGTCCACATAACCGCCAGAATACCAGGCATACTGTCTCCATTCTTGGAAGATGGGAGAGCACATCTGCCAATATGCTTGGCTCAGCATCTGCAATCAAAAAATGAGGGACGTTTTCAGAAACTTCAGAAACTTTGATGATAGAATCTCGTTGATGTGGCTTAAAGTCCTTCTTTTTTCTTTGCGCAAATTCCGTCAAGTTCTTCATGAACTTCTTGAATTGACGGAATATGACAGACCAATTCAATATTGCTTCGACCGGAAAGTTTATGGAATGTGCCAATTATCTGGGTGCAAAACATTGTCAATGGTCAAATGCGCGTATTGTGCCAAGAACATATGTTTTCAGCAGTTTGTCATCGAATGCCACCGATGTGTTTAGAATCCTCAAATGTTTTTTTCAATTTAAAAAAAATTGAAAAAAAAATTTGAAAAATTTTCGATGACCCATGAGCATAATTGTGAATTTCTTCAAAAATTAAATGTCTGTTTTTATTATTGAAAATTCCTATATATAACGAGAAACTCCCGAAAAACATGTTTAAATTGCGTAAATTTTTTTCCAGAGCCAGTTATGGCAGTTTAAAATAAAACAAAAAAAATTGCAAAATTTTTGGGATCGTGAGAATCGAACCTACAACCTTCCTCCTCTGAATTTGCCATTTTACCACTTTACCACACTGCTGATTGAAATCTATTGTTTTAAAAGAAATACACTATTCCGTGAAAAAAATTTCACGAGAAATTGCTTAATCATAGGGAACCTTTTCTAGGTCATAACTCAGCTCACGTGAGCATTTTGCTGATTTTTTAACAGATTTGGAATCCTCATAAGCTCTTCTATCTGCTCCCAAAATTTCAAAAAAAGTTAAACCTGCTCGCTCAAGTAACTCCCTTGTGAGAGCTGAGATATGGCTTCCCAAAGTTTGAGAGACGCAGACTGTTAAAGGACCTTGTTGTCTGCGTCTCTCGCTCGAAAGCTTTAAATGACTATATCTCGGCTTCCAATAATCCTGGGAACGTGATTTTTGAACCAAAATTTGTGATTCGAAATTTCCTAATTTCCAGTAAAGGTTTTTTCTTTTTGGAAAATTCTGGACCTCCAAAATTTGAAAACCCTTCGCAAAAATCACTGAGTCTCAATATCTCAATTTTCAAAAATATATAGTTCTAAAGTTTCTACACATTTCCGACTGAAAATCACGTCTCTAGGACCACTGGGAGCCGAGATACGGGCTTTTGAAATGTTGAGAGACGCAGACTGTTAGAGTGTCTCGTTGTCTGCGTCTCTCACCTCAAAAACTAGAATCGGTCATATCTCGGCTTCTAGAGGTCCTAGAAGAGTGGTTTCTGGCTAGAAATGGGTAAAATTAAACATACTGTCGGAAAATAAAATAATCTAAAAAGTTAGAGAATATCTTTCAAAGTGTTTTTTTTTCGAAAATGTTTAACTTTGGTTTTGCAAGGATAGAATTTCAAAAACTGAATTTTTCTGTCCAGTAGCCACTTTTCTAGCTTATCTAGAAGACGAGATACAGCCATTTGAAGTTTTAAAAGAGACGCAGACAGTCAGAGTGTCTCGTTGTCTGCGTCTCTCCAAACTTTGAGAAGCCATAGCTCGGCTCCTAGTGACTCTAGAAATGTGATTTTTGGCTAGAAATGCGTAGAAATTTCAGAGCTGTACATATTTTCCATCAAAATACAAGTGATTCCCGACAAAACAATTTTATAGTTATTTTCAGAAAAATACAACTTTCGATATTTAAAAAAAGTACACAAGATAATTTTTGGTAAAGACAAAAAAAGAATGGTGGAAATATTGGCTAGTAGAACTGTGACATTTTGGAACTAGGTTCTAGAACGTTACAGTTCTAAAATGTCCTAGTTCTATTATCAAGAGTACCACTTTGAAAGGGACCCGAAGAAAAGTGAAAAATGGTTTTGTTTTGAAGAAAAAGTTTCCAAAAATTCAAGAATACATGGAACTGATTAAAATATCATCTTCATCTGAATCCTGTTGTAGGATACTGTGTCCACCGGCTCCGGCGCCACGCCGATTTCGGAATCCCGTTTTCTGCCGTGACCTCTTTTTGATTACAGTAACCACACCAATCGATAGGACCACGAATGCGATGAGAGCAAGAAGAATGTGTGAGTATTGAATGGTTACGGTACCTGGAAGAAAATGTGCTCTGTTGAGATATTTTTTAAAATTAATTTATTTTAAAAAATTGCAAAAATTCAAAATCTCGAGATTTCAATTTTAAGACAATTCTTTGACCTAGATAAATCCAATTGTGAAAAAACCCCGAAAAAAATAGCAACTGCGCTCTATCGAACAAAAATTACCTGATGCCAAACTAGCTACCGTAGTCGTCTCCTTGACGACAGGTGCTACTGTAGCTGCTATATGACTGTTGTCCAGTTGTGGAGCAACACCCTCTCGAGCCATCGGAGCGCCGCCTCTGAAAGTTTCAGATTCAAAAAAATTGTTTTTTGAGAAATTTCGAAATTTTGAACATTTGGATAATTCGAAATTCAGAATTTGTGATTTTCTGAATTGTATTGTTCTGGAAATTTTGAACTTTCGAATATTCTAGAAATTGCCAAAGTTTTTTTGATTTTCTAATTTTCGGAATTTTCAGAATTTCGAAGTTTTAGAATTTTCTGGATTTTCTGAAACTTTTGGAATTTCAAGTTTTTCGTATTTCGTAACTTTCTGTACGAATTTCAGACTTTTTAGTTACCAATTTTCGATTTTTTAGAATGTTCGTATTTTTTGAGAAATTGTGATTTTCTAAATTTTTTGGAATTATCTAAAATTTTCATAACTTTCAATTTTTTCTGAAATTTCGAGTTTTTTGAAAATTCGAATTTTTGAAATTTTTGACTCACTGTAATCGAAATAAATCTGGGAAGTCGGTAATTTCCTGACCGACGATTTTCATCAATAAAACGACTTCATCGTCATCAGAAGACATTTTTCAGATTTTTTGATTTTTTGAAATTTAAAAAAAATCGATAATTGAAAAAATATTTGAGAAGAGAAAAAAAATTTGGGAGGGCTGGAAATTGTATTATATCAGCACTGATAAGAAAACATTGCTTTATCAGAATGTCGGGAAAAAAAAGAAGAACAATAAAATTTTAAGAGTTTGGTTTTATTTTTTAGAATTTCGGAAATTTCAGATTTTTCAATTTTCAGATTTTTTTTTGAAATTCAGATTTTCTGGAATTTTCGAATGTTCGAATTTTTCAAAAATCAAAATCTTCGAATTTTTGAACTTTTCGAAATTTCCGGACTTCAGAGGTTCGAATTTTCAAATTTTCAGCCTTTTGAAGTTCTGAACTTCCTGAAAATCAGATTTTCTGGAATTTTAAAATTTTCACGTTTTCAGATTTTCAGACTTTTCAGATTTTTTTCCAGAATTTCCCACCTTCTTCCATCTTCACAATTCCATTCATCTGATCCATCTGTGCACTGTTGAATACCATCACAAACATCATAATGAGCAATACATTCGCCGTTTCGACACGCCCATTCCCATTCTCCTGAACAAAGACGATTTCCCGGCTTGGCGGGAATTCAAATTTTTGAAAAAAAAGAGGATTTTTTGAAGACATTATGAATTTTAGAAATTTGGAAAAAATTGTTTTTCAAAATTTGAATTTTTAGCGATGGAGCGCATTAAAAAAATTTTCAAATTTGAAAATTTGAAAATCAAAAAAACTCACTGGGACACTGTGGAAGAATGGGACGATTTGCTAGACGGTCGATGTTGGATTGTGGCTCGTACTGAAGCATTTTTTTAACGGACATCTGGACATTTGGAAATTTTGGAAATTCAATTTTCTCAAAAAATCATGTTTTAGCAAAAATTTAAAATTCCAGATAATTAAAGTTTAATTTCGGGAAATCCAATTTTTGATCGGAAACTTTGAATTTAAAAATTCGGGAAATTTGAAATTTTAGAAAATTACAAATTATCGAAAAATTGAAAAAAAATCAGAATTTCGAAATTTTAGAAGTTCTCAAATTCAGAGTTTTCAAAATTTTAAAAAATCTGAATTTCGGAATTTATGAAATTCAAAAGTTCAAAAATTAAATTTTTTAATTCTGAAAAAGATTCAATTTCGAAAAAATGGAAAATTTCAAAATTTCAAAAAATCTGAAATTCCAGAAACCCAAAAATTCAAAAATTACGAAAATTCTGGATATTCCGAAGTTCCAGGAATTTCGAAAAGAAAGTAAATTTTAAAAAAATCCTTTAAGAAGATTAAACAATCCGAAAAATTTCAGAAAGTTCAAATTTTCAGGAATCCTATGAAAATTCAAAAAATCAGATTTTTAGAAATTCCAAAATTTCGAAAATTTTTGAAAATTCAAAACTTCGGAAAATCTGGAATTCCAGGAAACTAAAAACTAGAAAACTTTTAAATTTGTCGTGTAAATTTGAAAATTCTGAAATTCATAATAATTATTTTCAGGATGCCTGGAATTCTGGAATTCCAGAAATAACGAATTTTCGAAAATTCAAAAAAACCGAAAATTAGACTTTTCAAAAATTCCAGAAATTCGAAATTTTCAAGAATTTTCGAAAATTTCGAAATATCGGAAAGTTAGGGCTTCTCAAATTTCAAATTTATAGTTTTTCAGAATTTTAGAATTTCCAGAATATCGAAAAACTCCATTCTGGAAATTCAGGAAACTCAAAAATGAAATTTTAAATTTTTCATGAAAATTCGAAAATTCTGAATTTCATAATTTTCAAAATTTCTAGAAATTCGAATATTCTGAATTTTTGGAAATTCAAAAATATCAGATTTTCAAAATTCCAGAAATTTTCCAAAAAATTTTAAGAAAGTCTGGAATTCTGAAATTCCAGAAATAACGAATTTTCGAATTTCCGAAAAATTAATATTTCGTAAAAATTCAAAAACAACGAAATTTAGGCTTTCCAAAAATTCCAGAAATTCAAAATTTCAGGAATTTTTGAAAACTTTCAAATTTCAAGATATTCAGATATTTCAAAAAAACTAAGTTCAAATTTTCACATTTTTGAAAATTTCGAAAAATAGTCAAAATTTCAAAAAAATCAATTTTTTTCAGCATTTTCCAAATTCAAAATTCCTATTTTCGAAATTGTTTTCTTTTCTCTAAATCATCTACAGTAATCCCTACCTGTGCATTGACCCGATAAATCATTAGAAAAATACAGAAGACCGTGTTCATTGTTTCCGAGAAATTCCAATTTCGGGAGGACCAGTTTCGAAATAATACACACACAGAAAAAGAGTCAAGAAGAGAGCACATGCACGTCTTCTGAATCGATTCTAAAAGAGAGAGAGATGGAGACGCAGAGAAGTGAGGGCGAGAGAGTGTGAGGAATGGAGAGACGCAGAGAAAAGAAGGAGGAGGAAAAGCTGCTCTCTTCATTTTCCATAATGACGAATGGGGGTGGATGGATGAGAGGGATTAGAATTTCTCTTAATTTCGAAAAGTGTCCTCCAGATGTCTGTGTGTCCAGATGTCCCAACCTTTTAGATTCTCAAAAAATTCGAACCTTTTTTTCGGAATGTATGGAATTCCATCTGAAACTTTCAAAAATTTAGAAAATTGGATTTTTTCGAGATTTCTTTAAAATTTTGAGTTTTCTAGAATTTCGGAAAATTTCAGAAGAAAACTCTGAAATCTCAAAAAAGGGTTTTTTAACATTTTTTTTCCGAAATTTGGTATTTTCGAGTTTTCTGAAAAATTGAATAATCGAATTTTGTTGAATTCTGAAACTTTCAGAATTTCGAAAAAAAAATTTTTTTTGAAAATCTGTAAATTTCAGAATTTTGAAAATATTACAAAAATTCGGAATTTTGAAAATCCTCTTCTTAAATCGAAGTTTTCGGATTTCTCAGAATTTCAGAGTCTTCTGAAAAACTGAATTTCGTTGAATTCTGAAACTTTCAGAATTTCGATTTTTTTTTTGAAAATCCGAATTTTCCAGAAATTTGAAATTTTTCAAATTTCTCAAAAAATTTTTTTTAATTTTATAGAATTTTCAATTTTCAAAAAACCCATAATTACCAGAATGTTGAAATTTATCCAGAATTTCAGAGTTTTTGGTTTGTTTTTAAATCTTTCGAAACTTCTGAAATTCTCGATTTTTTGAAAACTTCAAAATTTTCAGAACTTTCAATTTTTTTTTAAATCTGTAAGTTCCAGATGTTTGAGAAATTTTCAGAATTCTCAAAAAATCAAAATTCTCAAAAAATTGAAAAATTCTAATTTTTTTTAGTCTTGCGTGTTCACTTTTCTCGAAAATCTGAATTTTCAGAAATTTGAAATTTCCAAAAAATTTTCAAATCAAAAAATCTATAATTTCTGATTTTTTGAATTTCAAAATTTCTCAAAGTTTATGATTTTTAGAATCTCCGATTTTTTTCGAATTTTCCATTTATTTTTGAAAATCTGCGATTCCAGCTTTTCTGAAAATTTTTGGATTTTTTTCAAAAAATTTCAACATTTCGAAAATTCAGATTTCCTTTTACAATAGAGCGCACTTTCTTTTTTCCCTTACAAACCCCAAAATTCCCAAATCAAAAATTCATGGGGAAATCAAAATTTCGTGTTTGCAATTTTCAATTTTCATCGATGCATTATTCTTTTTTCTTTCACAAAAAGTCTCAAATTTCAGAAAGAGAGAGAGAGAGCGGGAGGTTTAACACAAAAAAGTGGGGAATCAAAAACGGGGTGAGAAAAGAGAAAAGAGGGATACAATAGAATTTGACAAAAATTGTGGAATTTCTCCATTTTTTAGAATCAAAGACCGCTACAAAAAAAGGAAGAGGATAGAAAGGGAAAAGCGATAGAAAATTAACTTTTTAGTGTTTTTTTTCAATAAAAATCATAAAAATAATGTTATAAGACAGTTATTTACAACCAGTTCGGTGTGAGAAAAAAGCGCGGGGAATTCGAAATTATTCCTGTCCGTCTTGTCCAAAATCGTTTTTGAACGCCTCCAAACGATCCAAATCCGTATTGTTGACAGTGGGTTTCACTTGAGCCAGCGAGCGGCATATGTCTTGCTGAAAACAGAAATTTCTGAATTTTTGGGATGAAAATAGGCGGGAAAATTGAATTTTTCCCCGATAAAATTAGCTAGAAATCGTTGGAATTGGACGAAAAAGAACGAATTTCTAAGGATGGCCTAGGAATCATAAAATCTAGGCCTTAGAACGTCATCATGGTTCTAGATGGCCTAGAAAACCAAAACTAGTCCCCCTCTAAATAAAATTAAAAGCCAGTTCAAACCTATCATTCTCTAAAAACAGTGGAATTAGGTTAAGGGACTAGTTTTTCAAATTTTCTAGACCACCAAGCTATTTCTGTGTCTTGTCGCTTCAAAATGAGATTCTGAGCGTCATTTTGATTTTAAATAGCCTAGAAATCATAAACCTAGGTCATGGAACATTTCCTCGATTATTGGTGGCCTAGAAAACCGAGACTAGTCCCTCAAGTGGAGAAGGACTAGTTTTTCAAATTTTCTAGGCCACCAAGCTATTTCTGTGTCTTGTCGCTTCTAAATGAGATTTCCGAGCGTCATCTTGATTCTAAATGGCTTAGGAATCATAAACCTAGGCCATGGACCGTTTTCTCAAGAACGAGGGACTAGTTTTTCAAATTTCTAGGCCACCAAGCCCTTTTGCTCATTTTGAGCCAATTTTTGAGTTTAAAAATGCCATTTTCCCGAAAATTGACTCAATCCTTACCATAGAAAGCGGTGGATTCGCGAGCTTATCACCGGGCACATCCAACCAGCTCATCGCAATCGCGTGTGGATCTCCTGGACTGCATGGCGACAGCAGGTCGTTGACAATGATATTTGGATCCTTTGGTGATGGTCCCGAAACGTGTCTTGAAAAAATCATTATGCGAAAATGGTCATTTTGAGGTCCTAAAAGTGAAAGTTCAAGCCTAAAATTCTCATTTTCTGGTCGAAATGCAACATTATTTGGCTCGAAAATTGACATTTATAGGATAAAAAATACGCAATTCTCAATTAAGAAAAAAGGTTTCAAGTCGAAAATTGCCATTTTAAGGTCCAATTAGGTCCAAAATTGATACTTAAAATTGTCATTTTCAGGTCAAAATTTAAAATTTCTGGGCTCAAAAATTGACATTTCTAGGGTCAAAATAGAGCTCAAAAATCCACATTTTCCTCCCCAAAAACGCCAAAAAAGCACTTACTTGAAGTGTGTCGCCGATTGAACCCGTCTAACCGGTTGCATCAACGCATCCTTGACCAAAATGCTGATATCGTATCCCGAGTAGCCCTCACATCGCTCCGCCAACACTTTGAAGTCTTGATCTGTCAGCGTGTTGTAGTTCTTGCCAACGTCGATTCGGAACATTTCTTTGCGAGCGTGGATGTCGGGCAGTGGAATGTAGATTCTCTTCTCGAAACGTCTGGAAAACAGTTATTTGGGTACCTCTAATAAAAGGGCAGTCTCAACATTAAAATTTACAATAAAAGGGCCCCCAATACTGTCAATATTGAGCCAATTTATCGCGGTTCCTATCAGAGATATCAAAAGTTTGTCAACTGATAAAATGTTTATCAGTTTATCACTTTTTGATATCTCTTACAGGAACCGAGATAAATTGGCACAAATTCAGGGACCCTTCTGTTACAGGTATTACGGTTATTCGGTGCCTCTTTTAGAAGGGCATCCCCAATCAAAAACATACCTTCGAATAGCCGCGTCGAGGATCCATGGAATATTCGTGGCTCCTAGGACCAAAATTCCGTCGTTATTCAGTCCGACTCCTTGCATCTGCACCATGAATTCGGTTTTGATGCGACGCGCACTTTCACTTTCGTTATCCGAGCGAGCTGAGCACAGAGAGTCAATCTGGAAGAGATGAAGCGTCAGTTGGTGGCCGAGGAGATTCTAGGCCATTTGGGATCTTCGGCCATGACCCTATCCATGTCCAGGTCATTTTTCAAGCTTTCAAAGTCGGCCATGAATCACAAAAATCAATACTCACCTCATCAATGAAAATAATCGATGGCTTGTGCTCGCGAGCCAGTGCAAACAGATTCTTGACCAGCTTCTCCGATTCTCCCAACCATTTTGACATCAGATCCGACGATGAGATCGAGAAGAACGTCGACTCGCCTGCTTCGGTGGCCACTGCCTTTGCAATGTAGGATTTACCGGTTCCTGGTGGACCGAATAGGAGGATGCCTTGCCATGGCTTGCGATTTCCTGGAAAAAATAGGGGGCATAGGGACTAGGAGAAGGTACCAGGAAGGTATTAGAACATGAGTTTTACAAATAGGCTTTGACTTTAAATAGTGGATCTCATACTGTAGTCAACTAGAGTCTACTAGATACTGTAGTCTACTAGGCCAGTAGGAAATTCCAGAAATCCCGAACCATTTCACCAGATTTAAACCAATCTATCTCACCTCCTCTAAAAGATATTAAAGATCTGTCAACTGATAAACTGTTGCTGATATTATGCTTATCATTTTGTCAGTTGACAACTTTTCAATATCTCTTTCAGGAGACGAGATAAATGATGTGAAATTTGAAAGGTAAGGGGAGCCCTTCTATTACAGGGTTTTTTAGCAAGTTCGTCAAAAATGACGAGCTCTTTTATTCCAAATTTTAGGGAACTTCGAAAGGACCATAAATCATCCAAAAGAACTCGAAGGAAACCAGGTTCGAAACCCATAAGAATGGCACCGGATATTGTCAATTTCGCCAGGTTGTTGGGGGTTCTTCTGTCTCCCTTTTCACGCCATTCTCCCTAACTTTTTGCAAAAACAACGACTTTTGAAAATCTTCAAGAAAATCCGAAAGCTGATCTTTGTGATCATCCTTGTGTTATTTATAGGTTGAAAACGAAAAATCGCAGGCAATTGTGCTCATTTTTCGTCATATGTGAAATGGCTCGTGCATGACAATCAACAAAACATGACCAATGTCATAAAACCATCATTCGGAGCTGTTCAATAGAGCATCAATCTCACATTTTTGTGCTCTCTAGCTCATAATTTTGCTCTTGCCACTATTGACTTGAGCTCAGTTAATGTTGAACGTCTAGAAAAGGTCCAATTAACGTAGTTGCTCTAAAAGAAGTCCGCACTACACGTTTACTTTGAGCTCAATTATCTCGGTTCCCATAAGAGATATCAAAAATCTATCAATTGAGAAAATATTGGCGAACTTATGATAAATATTTTATCAGTTGACAACTTCTTGATATCTTTTACAGGCATCGAGATAATTGAGCTCAAAATGCCTTCTAGGGTGAGCTTAGGTTAGAGCAAATACAGTATGTTTTCTGCTCCAAAACCCCAGCTCAATTCGGAAAATAACAATGTGAGCAGTTCAATTTGAGTTTTAGAGCTCGGATTGGCCTGAATAGACCTGCTGGAAATGCCCCATGACGTCAAAGAAGCTGTTTCGATCCTAGACCAAAACCAGATGTTTTAATCCAGATCATCTTATGTGACCTCTAGAAGTGACTTAGAGAATCCTCGTTCTTATTCCCCAAGAACCTTTTGTTTGGTTTTCCCCACCAAAATAAACATTTTCCATTTTCTCTCTCCAAGAAAAAACATCTTCCCAGGAAGAACTTAACCTTCTTCTACTCCTTCTGTATATTCACTCAGCGTCACCCGGTCGGCGTCTGGAGCTTTTTTTCCCCGGGCATCTCTCTTTCCTTCTTCTTCTTCTTTTTCTCAAAAGAACTAATCGATAACCACACTACTCAGGCTTCGCTTCTTCTTCTTCCTCATAGCTTCGAGTCTATGAAAGTGAAAGAAACATAGAGAGTGAAGAAGAGACGCAGACAATGGACCCTCAGTGTGCAGCTGAAGCGAAAACAGCTCCCTGCCTAGTACTGCTCCTGCTCCTAGTCGGCAGCAAGACAGATAGATAGACAGAAAGAGAGAGAGAGAGAGAGAGAGAGAGAGAGAGAGGGACAAGAGATAGCAGAGACCAGAAGCCGCATACACAATTCTTCGCTCTTTTTTCTCCTTTCCCTCGTCACAGTCATCTGGAGCGCTGTGAGGCGAGAAGAAGAAGAAGAAGAAGAAGACATAGCCTCGTTTTTTCTCCTCCTTCACATTCCCCCATTCCTCGTGCTTCTACCCTAATCCCAAGGCATACTTCTCTTCAGTAGCTTATTCTCCAGAAGCCTTTTCTTCAGAAGTTTGGACCATGTACGGCCTTTTCAACTCATCTGAGATCGACGAAGAGTACTACAACGCAACGCATACATCCGCACCGTCACCGATTCTCGCACTGATATTCACTGTAATCTGTGGAATCGGTGTCATTGGCAATGCGTCTCTTCTTGTTTATATTATTGTTCAAAAGCTGTACCACAACTTTATCTCTTCGCACTTCATTGCTCATCTTTGTTTCACCAATTTGATTGCGTTGCTGGTGTTGGTGCCGGTGATTATACACAATGTGTTCACCGGTGTCAACTTGTTGCAGGCCAGCAATTGGTTGTGTCGAGTTCAGGTGAGTGAGGTGCTCCGGCCATCTGTGGTCATGGCCTAGCTTTCCAGGAAAACTAGTCCATGACTAACGAACCAGTTAGATTAGGCCCTACGCATTAA